TAATTTGGTGGGTTCGACAACCTTGTCTATTGCGTACTCCAAACTAATTATTAAACATAAAGAGTCAAATGACTAGAATTGGTTAGTGAGTATGTTGAGTTGAATGAACTACTTTAGTGTGGAGTCGTGATTAATGAATTTATGTTGAATGTTTATTTACTTTAATTGGTTGAACATGTTAGGTTTGGTGCGTTGTAGCTTGCATGTACTCAGCTTGGCTGATTGCGTGTTTTTGTGTGTGTTTTCTATTGGTCATGGCGTTCGTCTTTCAATGGCTCTGTGATGATTCAATTATTACATTTGTATTATTGGGGAGCAATATTGCACATGTAGCTTGATGATGTGAAGTTCAGGCATTTGGCAAACGCATAGTCAAGAGATTAGTGTGATTGAGAGTATTTGTTCTTTGTGTTAAACTTATTTAAGTTTTGTTATTCATTCATGCTTTGGTTTTGAATATTGGTTTGGTTTTATATAATAGCCTTATTTGGTTCCAGTTTCTAAGTTTTGACTTATTGGTTTTCTTTACTATATTATTTTAAAAACTTAAGTTTGGTTTTTCAGCCACAATATTATGATAAAGTCTTAACGTTTTAACACGTGGCGGTAACATGTCAATAGTTCTCCTCTATTTTATTTAAAGTAAGTGGTTTGGAAAAGGGAGAATTATTGGGGTGTTACAACGCGAGCAAATAAAACTCTACATAGTAAAAAAAGGATGCTAAGTGAACACAAAGACTATATGTTAAACACATGCGAAGAAATAAGCAAATTAAAAGCGCTACTCTCATCGAGCCAAGTGAAGTGATCAAAGTTTATGCTTAGAAATAATATATCCAAGATTTTAAGAAGCGTATGCCTCCTCTTATTTTACATTTCTTGTTAAACTTCCTTTACATTATTCTGAAGCAATCAAGCAAGAAATAATTCTCACTTTTTCGGTAGTTGCTCAGAGGCAATTTCCTGAGCATTGCACTAGATTTTTTGAATTGATCTCTTCAATGTTAAAAACAGACAATTCAAGGCTTGGGGTATCATCACAATTTTACAGGCTAAAAGCACTTTAAGGGCTTTACTTCGTCAAAATAAACCATACTTTGGTGAATTAATTAATATTTTGGTATACATTTGTCTTTAGAATAAATCCGCTTCTATGAATGATAAAACAATCAAAATACACGTCATATACAATTATCATAACACAATCAAGGATCCAAGGGGTTGTAAACCTTTAATCTATGCGCTATCAAAAAAATAAAATAAAATAAAATAAACCTTTAATCTATGCCCTTACTCTGCACCCTAAATCGGAGTCCAATAAGCATGTAATACCCATGTATTTTGCAATTTTTTTTTTTGAGGGAATGTATTTTATAATTTTATAAAGCTTAAAATCAGAGTTTTGTATGTTTTAAATTTATCTTTTAATATGATATAATTATAAAGTCTTGTACTATGTTTCAAAAAAAAAAAAAGTATTGGTGTTGCTTGAGGTTGTTGTTTCGGCGGTTTATGATTTCGGCGGTTTCGGCGGTTGATACGGTGGTTGGTGGTTGTGTCTATTGCTTGAGGTTGTTGTCGGTGGTGGTGGTGAGGTTGTTGTGGGTGGTGGTGGTGGTGGTGCAGTTGGTGGTAATAATGGTTGGGTGGAGCTTATTAAATTACTAATTCTTTCATAATCACATGCCCATTAATTTACTAATCAGCTTTTTATTTTTTTTCTTGGGAAGTATGCAAGCCTCTTTGTTGCACTTAACATGTAATGGAGGTAGTATAAATATTCCAAAACAAAGATTTTTGCTAAAAAGGGAGGGGGGAGTTTTGGAGAGAAAAAACAGCACCAGGAAATGACACGTGTCATTCTTGGTGTCTATTTTAGTATTATGTTATTGATTGATTATTGATTGATTGATTTAAAATTTACTACACAAGTTCTCCGTACGTTAATTTATTGTAAGACGAGTTAAAGTTATCATAAAAATATTTAAAATTACCCTTTATACTACAAAAGTTATTATTTTTTAAATAATAAATTTTATCTTTCAACAAACTATTATTATGTATTTGATTAATCATATTAGCCTTTATACTATGTAATCATGAATCTATAAGAAATTATATATTAAAATAAAATTCAAATCAACGACAAATTAAAATTTATCCTTTAAGTAGTTAAAGTTACCATAAAAATAGTTAAAGTTACCCTCGAACTGATCGTCTTACAATAAAAATTTACGTACACTCGCCTTACAAAAGACTTATTGAATTTACTATTGTTTTTCTCTCTATTTAAACTCAATTTCTCTCCCTTAAAAAAAAAGAAATTATGTTTACCAAAAGTAATATATAACGTGAAAATTACTACCGTTTATTAATGTCATTTTGAAAATGACTACCACGAATTAAAAAACTTTTGACTTACTAGTTACTATTGCAAAAACTTTTAAAACCTTTATTTTACTACCAGGCTCTATTTTAAGCCAATTATGACGTTACTTTAGACTTACTCATGTTTAACCCCTAGTTAAGCATTTTAACGTCCTAAAAAAAAGAAGATTAAAATCCCTTTAACCCATGGCTACCCCCTCTAACTAACTTAACTAAACTCCCCCCTTTTCCATTCTTTCTCCCTCTTCACTAATTGTAAAATCTCTAATTCCCACAAATTCTCACTAATTCTTCCCATCTACCATCTAATTGTTCTAGGTAAACGTTTAATTGTTTAATTTCCTTTTCAAAAATTAATCTTTTACTGTTTTCGATTCTAGGGATTATCGAATTTTAGGGGTTTTGCAATTTAGGGGTTTTAAATTGCAGTTTTGGTTGATTACATAGGGATTTTGTATTTGTCTTTGAATTAAACTATCAAATAAGCATAATATGTGATTTGATTTGTTTTTATTTTTATTTTTTATTATTATAAATTTGACAGGGAGAGGTTAAGGGGGGCAAAGGCGATGAGTTGGAAATGCAAGTGTGGGTTGAAGACTTCAATTATAAAATCTTGGACCAAAGAGAATCTAGGAAGATGGTTCATTATTTGTCCAGATTTTGTTGCATCAGTGGTCCCTCCCTTCTCCTTCATTGCTCAAATCTTTGTCTAGTCAATTTAGCAAAGAAAAAGATTTATTGCAGAACAATCTTCAATGGAGTTTGAAGTCAATGTGTAGAAGAGAGAGAAAATGGGTTGGGTTGGGGGGGGGGGGGGTAGCCATGGGTTAGATGGTTTTTAATTTCTTTTTTCTAGGGACGTTTAAATGCTTAACTAGGGGTTTAACGTGAGTTAAGGGTCGAAAGTGACGTCATAATTGGCTTAAAGTAGAGATTGGTAGTAAAATAAAATTTTTAAAAGTTTTTGCGGTGATAAGTCACAAGTTTTTTAATACGCGGTAGTAATTTTCAAAATAACATTAATACGCGGTAATAATTGACAAATTTTCCTATATAACGTAAATAGTAAATCAATTCCATAAATTAAGGAATATAAATAACAATCAATCCCTTAAACCAAGGAAGGAATCGTTTTGAATTTTTATTTGTACGCAATATTATTTTTTTCGCGTTTGTATAACCCTTTTATTTTGACAAGGCGTATGGTACACCCGTATGATGAAATTTTTATACTCCCTCCGTGTTTCAATAAGTGTTACACTTACCAAATCCGATTGTGTTTTAATAGGTGTTACACTTTCTTTTTTGGCAAAAAACTACATTTAAATATTATATCTCTCTCCTCTCATGGTCCCCACCAAAACCCATTACTACTTTTTTTATTATATTTTTCCTCTCATATTCGTTACTTTTCAATAAATTATTAACCCCACTATCTTTCTTTAATAAATTTTTAATACTCCAACTACCCTACTTACCTCTTATTTTATTTAAGTCAATTAAATTGTTTAAAACTATGTGCCGGTCAAACTATAACACTTATTAAAACACGGAGGGAGTATAATCATACGGAGTACCAAGCTAAGCTTAGGTTGGGGGTACGTACAATCCTCACTAGAGATATTTTGAGGGTGGGCATCCCTAACCCTTCCCTTCTTACTCTCAAAGTGTCTAAGCCGCATACAACGGAACAAAAAAAAAACAGCAATTTCATGAAATGCCACTGAGTGCTTAAAAAATTCATCAAATGTCATCGCGTTTTTCAAAATTCACCAAATGCCACTGAGGTTTAGTACAATATCACCATATGCCATTTCCGTTAGTTGACCGTCAGTGCCTGTTAGTTGATCGTTAGTTGACCCCACCTTTTGCCACGTGTCACCTTCTAATTGATCCATTTTTAAAAAAAAAATTAAAAAAAAAAAATAATAATAATAATAAAAAAAATAACAAAAAATAAAAAAAAAATAATTAAAAAAAAAACCAAAACTTGCTGCCACCGGCCAGCCCATTCCGGCCACCCCACTGCCAGACCCCTGTGCCGCCGACGCCAGCATCGACAGTACGCCGGCGGCCAGCGCCCTCCCAAAACCCCATTCCCCTCCCCTTTTCGATTTCGACCATCCCACCCAAAACCCCATTCCCCTCCCCTTTTCGATTTCCGGCCACCCCACCCAAAACCCCCTTCCCCTCCCCTTTTCGTTTCCGGCCACCCACCCACACAACCCTCACCCTCAAAATCCGGCAGCCCCCTTCCCTTCCCTTTCCTCGCACTTTCCTCGGAGAATCCACCGTCGCCGTGGATTCCATCGGAGCGACGCCATTTCGCTTCGATTCCGCAACAACGGAGCATGACTCAACACATAAATTCTTCGACACCGAAACCTCAGCAACTTCCTTCTTCAACGACTTCAACATCACTTCATTTCCAGCACAAAACGCAGCGTTTGGAGGTAAAACAATTGATTCAAGCTTCGTATTGCAGGAAACCTCATCACAAGTAGAATTGAAGGAGAAATTGCGATTAAGCTTAGGAGAAATTGAAGTAGCAATGGCAGTTTTGAGTAGTTTGTTAAAGTTGTTGTTGTAGATTGTTAGAGAATGAAGTTGGGGTTGAGATTTGTAGAGAATCAGAGAAAGAGGAGAGACGGGGGAAGAGGAGGGAAAGGGAGGGGGGGGCGGGCGGCCGGCGGCACGCCTGCCGGTGCAGGTCCCAGCGGTAGGGGTTTGGGGACCGGCGGCATGGCTGGGGTGGTGGCTGATGGGGTGGTGGCTGGGGTTTGGGGTTTTTTTTTTAATTTTTGTTTATTTTTTTTTAAAAAAGGACCAATTAGAAGGTGACATGTGACAAGTGATGGGGTCAACTAACGACCAACTAACGGTACTGACGGTCAACTAACGGAAATGGCATATGATGATATTGTACTAAACCTCAGTGGCATTTGGTGAATTTTGAAAAACGCGATGCCATTTGGTGAATTTTTTAAATACTCAGCGGCATTTCCTGAAATTGCCGAAAAAAAAACATGAGGGTTGAAGTATGATCAGGGTCCTTTTTTTACCTTTAAAAAAGAAAAAAATTTAATCATACCGAGTAGTACGACTTTCGAATATATCTTTAAACACCTTGCAGGGAAATTGAAAGTTTGAAACTGCATTACTGCACAAAACTTGTTCAAACCCTGACTATCGACATCACTGAAATTACTCCGTACTTCACTTCTCAGTTCTTATTCATAAGCCTTCAACTACCAGTCTGCCATAATGAGGTTCGCTAATCGCTACTCTCTCTATTCTTTAATGGGAATGAAAAATTTCAATTAATATCGTGTTTAATGCATACATCTGTCGTTTGTTTTTCCTAATATGAAATGGGTTCTTGGATCATGTTTTTGTGCAGCAATTTCATGATTACCTGCGAAAAATTCCTGGTTTTTTCATGGGTTTTCTCTTATTTGTTTGCTATAATTTGAGATGTATTTGTTATGTGTATGGTGGAATTTAGAAAGTGCTTTCTGCGTTTTATCTAGATGTCTCTTGAAAACAACTGGATAGTAAACTTGATGTCTCGGGTTCGAGCCTTGGGAACCCTTTTCGAATCCTGGTTAGTCGGAGTCTAGCTCTGGATTAGCTACACTAAATAAAAGTAATTGATGGGTTGATTTTAAAATGGTTTAGAGTATGCAATGTACTTTGATCAAATATACCAACCTTTGAAGAAGAAGAGGGGGGAGGTTTGAGCAATTGATTTTCGAACTTTTGTGTAATTTTTGTTTCGTTGAGGGTTTGTTCTGATGGTGAGACAACTTGCTTGTAGCAGCATGTATACTCCGTAATTTCTTTGTTGTTTAAAGAGGAAGGAACATGAACTACGAAAGTTGAAACTTAAAAATAAAGTGCTTGTTATATGTAGGGTTGTTACACTGTTACTGAACCCCCCTTTGGATTTTCTTGTTCATCATGCTTTGTTTGGTTTAGAAAAATGTACGCTAATTGCTGGAATGGTTAGTGACACGATTTGTGTGTTTATTGAGGATACAAGTTGCTTTGTACACCTGAACTGATATCATCATTTGAAAAAAAATGTTACGGAGTGTCTTTTGTAATTTTGCATATTTGAATGACTTGAATCTAATGCAATCTGTCATTGGCTTTTATGCATCTTGTATTCTTGTTTTACTTCTTGTCAAAACATGTATTTATATGGAAACAAAATTGTTTCTCTCTATTTTCAGTCGCACTCCAGAGATTCTCTGGGCTCAACGCTCTGATAAGATCTATTTGACAGTTTCATTGCCTGAAGCCAAAGATATCGTAGTGAAGAGTGAGCCTGATGGACTATTTAAGTTTTCAGCCACTGGACCACAAGAAGAGAAGTATGAATTTACTCTGGATCTATATGGAGCCATAGCACCTGAGGTTTGTTCCCTTTACTTAACTTCTGCTGTTCTACTTACTTTGACAACTGTAAGGAAGTTACTGCTTGATACAGCAAATTTTTTTTACACAAGTATAGTTGTGATGTTCTGTAAGCTTCCTATGTTTCTTATGTTTTGTGAAGTTGCATGCATGTCATTCGGCCTCTTTGTTGGGTAAATCTGCATAAATATGACCTCCAATCTCCATTCGGGATCTCAGTTAGGGGTGGACTTTTTTGAAGCATTGGATTAACTATCTGAAATTCCAGTACTTATATTAGCTTAATGTTGATATACCAAACTCTTTTAAGATCTACTTAATAAAATGAATCGGATGCCCTTGAATTGCTTATAAATGCTTCCTGCTGCTGCTTATGTGTTGTTGTTATTAGCCTAATATGAAATGTGGGGTAATGAATATCTCTGCTTATGCGTTTTTGGGATTGTTCTTTCTTTCTTTTCATTTTCTACATCTTGATTTATCAAAATGCAAAAATTATTTCCCTTTTACTTTCTTTCCTTTTCAACCTTGAATATATATTGAATAATATATCAATGTATGTAAATATTGGCGGCAAATTTTTCTCAAGTTTGACAAATTTATTGAAGTTCGGACTTTTACTTTATATGTAAGGAGGCTCTTGTGAGAACATTTTTTTATATTATATGAGAATTGATCATATTTGCTGTAAATAATGTTACATTATAAATTATACCTTTTCCTATAGAAGACTATTCTCCTCAAGAATACAAATATCATCTCCCTTGAAGTTCAAGTTTTGTTCATTTTCACTCCCCTCCATTGTCTAAATCTTGAAGAAGATGCTATCCTCTCTCCAAAATTCATGCTAATGACTTCGAAAAATTCTCCAAAACTACCAAAGAAACATCCAATTTGCTTAAAATTGACAAAATATTTCTTTAAAACAAATGAATACCCTAGAATCTCTATGCCAAGCAAATTGAAGTGAATTGATGCTATAAATCACGGGGTTGTAAAAATATGGAACACATTTGTATAATTTTTAGTATGTGCTTGTAACAAAATTTAGGATTTAATGCTTATGTAAAAAAAAAAAAAAAAAAAAAAAAAACAAAAAAAACATGCTTGCTTAAGAAACAAAACAAGAAATAGAACATTCTTGTAAAAATAAAGAACAAGGTTTGGAGTTTCACTTTTTTTCAGCTTTTATTTTATTTATTATCTTACAAGTAAGTTCTTACGTACAATCATGTTCATTTTTTAAATTCAATCTCTTATACTTATATGCTCTCACTCGGTAGCTTTCGAACTTAAACAGCGGTAAGAGTATATGTGCATATCTGGTGCTGTGTTCCCCAGTTTTATTATCCAGAGAAACTCAACATTTATGGAAACAATTCAGGAGATATACTTGTAATTATGTGAGAAGAAGTTGACCTATGCTTGAGTTTGGTTATTTTACAATGTCACTAGTTGCTAATGCCTGTTCTTGAGTAGCATCAACATAGATGGAATACATATATGAATGGAATTTACACATGTTGTGTCTGATATCAATTGAAGAAAAGTTTGAGATATCCCTTTCTAAAGGTTTGGGGCTTTGATAGTAGTTCTTAAAATATTGTTAACACATAAAAGTTAAAAAAAAAAAAAAATTAAAAAAAAAATTCTTTATAACCTAGAAATGATGAAAATAATAACAATGATTTATCACAGATGCTCTATGGAGTAGTAAACTTTTACCAGAAAACTTATAAAGCATGTTATGATTTAGAATTACAATTTTGGTGGGGTAATGTAAATGAAATGACAGTGCAAATGCAAAATGCAAGATCATTTTTCTTTGCTCCATAGGATGCGGATAAATTAGGAACTTACACTAGCATCGAGCCATCGACCACGTTAGAGCTGGCCAAGAGGCCATTTTACTGGAAATGGGAAATGAGAAAAAGATTCTCCTTTTGCATCATGATTGGAAAACAGGGAGACTAGTCAAGACCCAAGTGTTATCCTTGCTAATTGTTTATCTATTACAATTCAATTTATCCATTTATATCATCGTGTTTGGTATCAAGGATCAATAGGTAACAACTTTTTTATAATTGCAATAATAGGTTGTGTACTTGTGTGTACTTCTCTTACTTTTTTTATGGTTGGGGCTTCTTTTGTGGCATTGAGAAATAGTGTTGGTGTTAGTTTGAGCCATCCTAAACATACCCCTGTGCTACATTATAGCAGTCTCACATAGATGCTTGAGCTGTATCGACATTGACCTTTGTATATTATGATGAAATCTATGAATGAGTACATAGTGTAATACTTCATAATTTCATACTTTTTTGGTTAATAAGTAGTGCTGTAGAATTTTTCCGTAATTCTGCAACTGTCAAGAGTTTGGAGCATCAATGGTAGAAACCTTTTTTTTTTATTGAAACAGCTATAACTGGTCTATTGTTCATTTTCCCATGATCATCTAAATAACAAGTCCCATTATGACAACTCGGTCAAGCCTTCTGATCAATTGTTGGGGGCTAGGATGTGTAGCATCTTATGGAGTGCTTCTTGGAAGTTTGCTTAGGAGGCTCTTAGGAAATTTAGTGGTTATATTCTCAGACCTTTGCCTTTTCCTTGTAGGGGTGTAAAGCTAAAACAGGATGGAGGAATATATTGTGCTCGATACAGAAAGAGCAGAGAGGCTGGTGGAAAAGACTTCTAAAATCAGAAGAGAAAACTCCTCCGTATCTGAAAGTTGATTGGAATAAATGGTGTGATGAAGATGACGAAGAGTCAGACTGTAAGTTTTCTGTTTGTATTTGAATATGTCATGAAGAACCTATTATTCCCTGGGATAAAAGACCCATTTTTCTGTTTTACTAATTCTTTCCCTTACATTAGGATCATTTCACTTCCTACTTTCTAAAAAATCATTAAAATAAAAAGAATCCCTCAAAAAGCAATGACTCCCTTCATACGAAGTGCTAACAAAAGTGAAAAATACTACAGTACCAAATAACACACAATAAATTAAAAAAGCCAATTGTTTTGCATAGAATTCTGACCTGCGGGTGTACATTTTTTTTAATAAAAATTCTACGGTTTGTATTCCTCTGTAACTCTTTCAAATGGGTCGATAATGTAAAGGAGAAAAGTGTGGTGTATATATGTACCTATAATGTAAATCCCTTCTTTTTAATATGCTAGCATGCTAAATAAGAATATAAGATTAGGTATGACGTGGGTATTATACTTGGACATTTCATTTTAGTTCAAAATCATAGAATAATTTCACAAAATAGCCGAGTGGGACACTTGGACACGTACCCGTGTCGGACATGGGTACCCGAGTCCGAGTAACATAGAACCACAACCACTATACTCATACAAACAATTATATACTAAGCACCATGAAATAGTGACTTTACTGATCAAATCTGCTATTTACGTGATTATTTAGTCTAATCTTTTTAAACTCTCCAATCACTGAACAAAACCTCTTGTAGTTGTTTGTTTTAGTCATTTTTTCTTTTCACAAAATAGCCGAGTGGGACACTTGGACACGTACCCTTGTAGGACATGGGTACCCGAGTCCGAGTAACATAGAACCACAACCACTATACTCATACAAACAATTATATACTAAGCACCATGAAATATTGACTTTACTGATCAAATCTGCTATTTACGTGATTATTTAGTCTAATCTTTTTAAACTCTCCAATCACTGAACAAAACCTCTTGTAGTTGTTTGTTTTAGTCATTTTATCTTTGATGGGATTGGTATTAGTGATTTTTGCTAGAAGACCCAAGAAGATATCAGCCCTATACAAAAAGAAGGCCTAGGTCTATCATGCATTGAAGACAGCGTACCAAGATACACGTGGACAGATGTTAAAAATCTCAGGCTATACAACCATCCATGATCTTATCTATAAAATCAAGGACAAAGGACAGTCGATGCTAATGCATGGTTTGACATCCTTACATTATAGAATTTAAACACTTGTCCTGTTAGGCTTTTCCCTTTCCCTGTACATGATTCCATGTAACTAGATAACTAAAATCCACCTTTCAGCTACTCACATTCAACCTCTTTTTTCGAGCTGCAGGAACACCTGAAAAACCTTATGACCTTCAAAGAAAGATAAAATTCAGTTCCACCTAGAAAGCACCATAAAACAAAAAGGATATTTGGTTTTGCTGGCTCTTTATCAACAACTTCACTCAATTTCTCATTACCAATTTATATGAACTAATGTTTGATGATATAAATAAATTCTAACATGCCAAGAGAAAGTGTGAGGATTCATGGAATAGGGGAGGGGGGTCTTTTATTGGATCTCCAAATTGTAGAGATAATGTTGCAGTCAACATGGACAGTTAAGATACATTTTAAAATTATCTGCAGGAGATGGCCTTTTTATTGGTTTTCACGAGTCTATTGCTACTATACTGACGGTGGTGAACAAGTCTATTCTAGTTACTTGTATTCTGAATCCAAAATAAGTCATTTCTCTGGAAAGTCTTTTCTTTTCTATTCGGCTTGAGTTACCTGTAATGGTACTTATGGCAAAGGTTACTCTTGTTTAGTTCAAAGGTCTTGCATTAAAAATTTTCCAGTGCACTTCAATATGCAATAATTGTGGTCTTCATTGTGAAAATCAAACTACCTATCAATGCGACAGTTGAGGCTCACATCAGGCATTGTGAATCTTTTCAAGGTTTTCTGTTTTTCCTGTGTTGTTTTATTGTATGAAGTAATATCAATCTTGGTTAGAGTTGGCATTCTTGAATATGGAACTTGGATTAACGATTCTGTTTATGAGTGTACCTTGTTAAGTGTTTCTTGCAAGGCATCATTTTGTTGCTAAATCTTTTCCGTCTTGTTTGCAGCTGAGTTGGCCTACAATGATGATACTGATGCGGTAATATATACCATTCCCATTATTCCTATTTATGACTTTCTAGTTTCTACTCTTGAGATGAGGATTATTGATATCTACTATTTACTCACGTGTTTGTAATCTATTTCCTGCAGGATAATGATGGAGAAAGCAGTGATGATGATGGATTACTTTGTGAGTTCTAAGACCTAGTTTTATTTAAGCGATCTTACTTTCATTTGTTCATTTGTTATTTATAAATGATCTTGCATGGGTTTGTATAGCCCAATCTTCTGTGAAAAAACTATCACTAGTTTGACTTTCAATTGCTCATTTGTAATTTATGGATGATCTAGCTCATGTTTGTATATCCCAATCATCTGTGAAAAAACTATCAATTTGACGATGCAGTATACCTCTCTTTTTGTACATTGTAGATCTTCCCGACTTGGAGAAAGCTCGAGGATAATTCCTGCAAGCAACGATGCTGAGGTAGCGAAAATTCTCTGGGAAACATTCAACTGCATTATCTATGCAACTAGCGCTCCCAATTGACTTTCTGTAGTCTATAAAATGCGTGATATAACCTTTAGATTAGGTAGCGACGAAGTGTTAGGATTCTGTTAGTGCAAGTAATATTCTCTGTAAATTGACCTAGAAGGATAGAACTTGATGTTGGTAGATTAAAGACAGCTGTGCCTTTCTGAGAATCTCACGTTCTTATTGGTCTCTATATGGTGTAAACTCAAGTGCATGTAATTTAGATTTCTTAAGAGTGCAGTATGAAAATGATGAATTTGGTGTTCTATAACCTTTAGATATAATTCCAAAGCTACATACTTTAGGAACATTCATTAATCGAGGTCTCAAAGCAGGATATCCTAAAATTTTTGTAATTGTTATGCACCAGTACATTATAAATGATTATAGCAAGTAGGGTTGTTCATTTCCGGATATCCGATCCGATCCGATTCTAAAATTCGGATATATGAAATTTTCGGATCAGAGAAATTGTGATCATATATCCGGATTTTCGCATCGGATAATCGGATTTTCGGATCGGATCACCAGAATTTTGGATTGGGTAGTTAAAATTTCCGGACAAAATTCAATCCGTATCCGATCCGAAAACCTGAATTTTTTTCAGATATCCGATCCGAACTATCCAAAACCTTAAAATCGGATCGGATTTTCAAAATTTCGGATCGAATCATCAGACTTTTGGATCAGATAGTATTTTCCAGCATTATAAGTTTTAAATTTTTGGGAAATTCTACATGGTGGCCTCATGGTTTTTAGTTTTCTACGTGGAAGACGAAGTTTTTTTCAGCTCTCTTTAGTGGCACTCTGGTTTCACTAAATTGAGTTCAGTGGCCTAATTATCATTAAATGGGCTAACCAACTTCAAAATGGCTCATTTTTTTACTACATTACGCAAAAAGACTAACCTACCCTTGAAATAATTGATTCCCTCCTCTTTTCATTAATGGCCACTGCAATACTGTTTGCTCGACATCGATCAAGGAAAAAATCCCAAACCCTTTCCTCTTCCTTCAACCTCCACCAAATTTGTAAGGATCAAACACATTTGCGTGACGATTTTTTGGCGAAATTGTTAAGCAATTGTTATCGATTAACGGCTTAGAATAGTTCGATTTTTGGTGAATTTTTTGGGACGAAATTTAGGGTTTGTTGTTGAAATTCTGACATAATTCGCACAATTGTGGACCTTCTAGCGATTGCTGAAGTGGTATACAGACCTTAAGCAAGGTATGTCCTTTAACCCTGATGGGCGTTAGAACGGTCGTACATTCCACACTCAATCAAACACATTTATTAACAAACACCTTACAAACCAAGCATAATGACAAGTAAGAGTTCGGTCCACAAGGAACAGGATATGATTGCCAAAGATCTTTACACTTAAGCTAACTCGAAGTCAATTGGTGAATTGGGGTTCGTCAAGAAGACAAACAAACTATGGTTCTAAATCAATGAATTAAAGATACTAGGGAATGAGATCCACTCAACCAAGGAAAATAGGCAAACGGGGAGTAAAATAGACAAGATATAGCAAGGACTATATGTAAAATCAACCTCATGCAATTAGAAAACAACTCACACTATCAAACTTAGATTCCTCATTAGTTTAGCAATAGATGATACATAATCAAATTACAATAAGTAATGACGTACTCAATTTACACTTCCATGTCAAATTAGGCATATCATACTATCAAGCTCCTTAGTCAAGGGTAGCTTAACCTATCATGAGGAACTAACAAGCAATCTCATATAATCAATTTAATTGCAATACAAACATCAATGCTTCTCCCACATTTGCATAGTTAACCCAAAAGGTCGAGCTTCACCCAACCCCTAGCAAGAAGACTACTCACAACTCATGTTTATCAACATGCAATCAAGAATTAGGGTTCTAAATACTTCAATAATTGGGGAAAAGTGGTTAACAATTGAAATAACTATCATCCAATAACAAATTACTAAGAACTAAGAAGATTTAAATAACATGCAAATACCAAATAAAATCTGAAATTAAAAGGAAGAAGGTTGGAGAAATTACTAATTGAAGCTTCAAATGTTGAATACAAATTGCCAAACTTTGAGAATAATTCTTGAATTTCACTAATACAATGATTTGATTTGATGAAAACTAAGCTAAATTAATCCTAAGGAATGTTTCAAACTAAGAGAGGTTTCTGAAAACTAGGCTACTGTCCTTCTTCTCTTTTTTTTTTGTTAAAAACGATCTCAAAAGGACCTTAAATAGTCCGTACAAAATTGGCTGAGATCGGGAAAAGGTCCGACCGAACTCTGGGTAGGTTCGGTCGGACTCAGGGTAGGTTCGGTCGAACCCTGTGTAGGTTCGGTCGAACCTCCCTGATCCTTGTTTGGTCGAACTTTTGAGGTTCGACCTCTCCTGCAAAATTGCTGAAAACTGGTTTGACACCGCCTTCACTGCACCCTGGAGGTTCGGTCAAACTTTTCAAAAGTTTGACCACACCAAGGTTCGACCGGACCTTTCAGAGGTTCGGCCACACCTCCTCTTGCACTTCCTTTTCTTGCTTCCTCTCCTTCCCTTTTGCTCCTCTTGCCTTTGGCCATGGCTTCCATACTTGGCCAAGGGGCCTCCCACCGTGCATAGGACCGTCACGGAACCTGCAGAAGATACCAAAGTTCACGAGAGCATGGGGATGATAAAATAATGCATGAAGATTATCAAAATAAGCGCAAATAAGCATTACTTTTCATCAACACAAAAAGAAGCCATAAGAGGATAATGAGGTGGAAAAACCTAAGAAAAATAAGAGGAAAAAGACCTAAATACTACCCCTAAGAGTGACATAAATGTCACTCATCAAACCCTAAGTTTGTTCATGTTGTTCTTATACTTGCAGAAGTTACATGCTCTGTTTTTGTTTGTCTGAGTACATGTTGAACAAAGATGAAATCTTTATGCTTGCTAGTACGTGTTTGATGTTAAAATATATGAGTGTGGTTGTTATGTTGCAGAATGTATCAATCTATGCTAAAGTTTGCCTATATGGGTAATGTAATTGAAGTACTTGTTGAAGATATTGACAAGATCATGTGGATAGATTTAATCATTGAGTGTGAGGAAGGGTTTAGGAAAAAGAACTATGACTTCCCTAAATTCCCTAGCTTTCACTATTGCTATAACATGAAAGATGTTAAGATTACTTCTGATAGTGATTTAATGTCAATGCTGGATAGATTAAGGGATAGGGAAGAGATTACTATTTGGATTGGTTGTGTTGACAAACCTATTGACTGTGTAATTGCTGCTAGAAAGCTTGCTGAATCACTTATAAAAAATCCTAGCCCACCTAAGAAAAATGCACCAGTTGATGAACAAGGTGGGAATGAAGAGTGTCCTGATAGTGAGGGAGTACTGGAATGATATTAGGATAGAGATGGAATTAGAGCACAATGCAGCAGTTGATAATATAGAGGAGTATGAACATGAGAGTCAACAAAAGAGTAAAAAAAAGAGTGCACCTAAAACTGTGAAACCTAAGAAACTACCTCTCAAGAGAAAGCTTCAACTAGTCACTGATAAGGAAACCATGGCCCCACAACAAACTTTCTCAAATGCACCTGTATTTCATCAAAAATCAGATTCTCAGGCAATACCCTCAATGTTGAAATGTAACTCTGCTCCTGCCCATCACAAAATACCAAGGAGTACAGCAGCTAGGAAGAAGAATGTTCAGACCAATTAAACTATGGTTGAAGCTATGGTGGTGAGTGAGAGTGAGTTCAATGAAGCAGTTAGGGATAGGCAAGTTAAGGATGCTCAGGTTGTGGGAACATATGGTTAAAGAAACCAACCCAGGATCTGCAGCTAACCGTGCATGGAAGCAACTTAATCCACCTGATCCATCCCTCACTTTCTCAAGTATATTCATTTCATTCAAGGCTGCCATTGATGGTGTTGTTGCAGGATGTAGGAGTTTAGTGGGGGTTGATGGAGCTCACTTGAAAGGACATTTTGGTGGGGTCCTTCTGTCTGCTGTGGCTATAGATAGAAACAATAAATTGTTTCCTTTTGCATGGGCTATAGTTCCCAAGGAAGATGGTGATAGTTGGAAGTATTTTTTCTGGCACTTGAAGCATATTCTGCCAGGTTCTGGGAGGGGTAATGGCTGGTGTATTATTTCAGACAGACAAAAAGTAAGTTAGCTCTTTCACTCACACTTTAATTTCTGAAATTGCAAGTAACAACTAAACTCACTTTTGTGTATTTGTGTGTAGGGAATAGATGTGGCACTAACTGAGATATGGCCTGAAGTGGACAGGAGATATTGTTGTAAACACTTAGCCAAGAATAGGAAAGGATCATTTCCTGGCCCTTTGATGCATTCACTCTTCTGGTTGGCCTGTAGTGCAACATCTCCTTTCACCTTTAAAAAGGCTATGGACAGGTTAAGGCTGTGAATCCAATGGCTTGTGAATGGTTGGCTGATTTGGGGAACCAGTCAAGGTGGACAAGGCACAAATTTGATCCCAAAATTTGCAGTGATGAAAACAAGACCAACTTTGTAGAGAGTTTAAATGTAACTTTGGGTGTGGACAGATGCAGGCCTGTCTTAACACTTTTGGAAGATATAAGTTTGCTTTTTCTAACATCTTTAATGGTATTTGACATCATTTCATTTTGATGCTAACATATCCTAACATGAATACATAGGTATAAGAAGAATGTGCATGGTGAGACAATCATCAAGAAGACAAAAGTGCAACAACTGGAATGAGGATGAACCATGTCCTAATATAATAAAGAGAATAAAGATGTTGACCTTTGAATCAAGAACTTGCAAAGCTTATCAGTCAAAGGAGGGTGAATATGAAGTGAAGGATGGGAAGTCTATGCTTCTTGCGTCACTAAACAAAAAGACATGTCTCTGTGGGGCATGGAAAATTTCAGGTTTGCCTTGCAAACATGCAATTAGAGCAATCTTGGCTGCTGGATTGAACCCATACAATTTTTGCAGCACATGGTTCTCAGTCCAAACTTATAAGCAAGCTTATGCCAACTCAATACACTCTGTACCAGATTTTGAGCACTAGCCAGAGATTGATATGCCTACAATACTACCAACACAGATGAAAAGATGCATTGGTAGGCCATCTAGACAAAGAAGGAGGGCACCTGATGAACCAGACAAAGGAAAAAGGTCTACAACAGTCCAATGTCAAAGATGTATGTGTTATGGACACAACAAACAGACATGTAAGGGTGGACTCACAGCAGCAGAGCAAAGTGCTAGGGATGGACAGAGAATTGCAAAGAAAACTTCTAAGTCCACTAAACACAATGCACCAAAGAGTACCTCCACATCAAATCCACTAAACCCACCTAGAAGATTCACAAGAAGCTTATTGTAGTCTGTTTCTCAACCACAACCCTCCATTAACACAACTCAGCATTCATATCACTAGTAGAAAAAATGAAATAGGCACCCCCCCTTTAGCACCGGTTCTTGAAAAACGGTGCCAAAAAAAATGGGCGGGATTGAAAAATTCGGTTTTGGCACCGGTTCGCCTTAAACCGGTGCCAACTATGGTAATTAGCACCGGTTCAAACCGGTGCCAATTAACAAAGGCAAAAAAAATAAATAAATAAAAATAAATCGGGGTATGCGTTACTCTGCTTCTTCATTCTCTTTCCTGTTCTTTTTCCATTTCCATTCTCTCTCTTCTCTCTCCTCATATGCTCTCCTCTCTCACCTCAACCAAACCTTCAGCCGCAGCCGCAACCGCAACCACAACCACCATGCACCGCTCACAGATTCTTTCTCCCCTTTTCTTTTCGTGCTCTCTCCTCTAGCCTCCTTTTACCCTATCAATCGTTTTCTAGGGTTTATCGCCCTTGTTATACCTCTAAATCTCAATCTCATATCCAATCACCTCTCTCTAATTTCTAGGGTTTCGAATTGCATTGATGCTGCAATAATTGGAGGCTGGAGTTGGTGGTGATTAAATTGATGTTGTTGAACACAAAGAGGCAAACTAATATCAGCAGGCTACACTTCTTCTTTCTCGAGGTTTCTTCATCTTGCTCGATCTTTCACTCTATGTTACTCTCCTAATTAAAGTACTTTTCGGTTTTTTAATTTCTGTAATTTCGATCAATTTCTGTCGTTTTCTAAGATATTAGGGTTTATTACTCTTATCTGGGTTTTCATTTCATTTTTTATTGGCCAATTTCTGAAGCATGCATATCATTTTATTTGTTATTCATATCATTTTTGATAATCTTGAAGCTGATTGATGGAAATGATTGATCTGGGTGTTTGTAATTCTTGTTAATTTTGTGTTTTTCTAGTGTTACTTTAATAATTATGCGTTTGTTTGTGAAAATAGTTGGTATAATTGCTTATTCTCTTTAGATATATGAAGATCTGTCATGATCAGTTTTGTGGGTTTTTTTTTATTGAATTAGTTTTGTGACCGATTTGAATTAGAGATCTATTCAATTAGTTTGTTTGTTTAATTGGATGGTTAGAAGTTTAGAACATATACGATGTGTAAGTTGTGCTTGATTGCGAGGGTTGTTATCTGTTTTTGAAACACTAGTTTAGTTGTTTCTCCGAGTTTCGTCAATTTGATGTAGGCTGCGAATGTCATATGCTCCTAGATCTTGAGTTTTTGTTTTTGGTGGAATTGAAGTGTGATTGCTATTAATTTGTGTGTTTATTTTGAGGAATTGAACTATATAGCTGATATTATTTGAAAATTTTGATCCTTCAACTTGTTAATTGTATTAAAATTCTGACCATTGATTTGGAAAACGATGATTATTCTTTTGTAATTGAGCTGTTTTCTGTCAAATTTTGGAAATATGAAGTTTTTCTATGTGGGTATTTCTGGTGTTGATGGAATTTCGACTAGGTTACTGCAAGATTTTGGTTTTTTTGGGGAGGGTATTGGTGGTAGGGAAGGGGTTTCTATATTTTGATTATGTGGGGATTTGCGATTGAGGAAGCGGTGTTTTGGGTTGCTGGCATTGTTTGGAACAGTATGAGAATTCTTCTCTGCTGGTGATGTTGGTACCATTGATGAACTTGAGTTGATCTTGTGGAGTTGTGGGTGCTCTCGATTGTTGGGATTGAACTTGCTTGTTGGCTGGCTGTGTAATGTATGTTTTGAGTTTTTTTTTTGTTTCTTTCCTTTATCTTCTGACAATATGGGCAGTTCTAATATTGATGGTATTGAACTGGGTGTGAGCAGTTTTGGCTGGAAATCGACAAGGCGGCTTATCTGCTCAGGCAATATTTCTTCAATAATCTCCTTGATCGGCTTAGTACAAGGCCTTTAGCCTAATTGAGAAGAAATGGCTTGCTTTTCAGGTTTTCTTGTAGTTTTTTCCTACTCTACATCTTTGTATGTCCTTTTAGAATTGGATTGATTAATCACTTTGGCATCTCAAATTCTTGCTTTCAGCTTTTGTGTGCATTAAGCAGAGCCACGAGCATGATATTTGTCATGGTAAGTGACTGCATTGTGGTAATTTTGTGTTTTGTCTTTTATGGGTTTGCATTGTGTATAATTTGGTGTTTGGTTTTTCATTTTGGAGGTGATATTAAGTGTGAGAATGTGCTGGTTACCTGGCTGACTTTGCATCTTTTAAACCAACCTATATTCCTGATGACGATCCATCTGATTTCTCATTTTTCTTTGATACTAGGGGAAGAAGGCTCTGTTATCTCGCACCTGAGGTAGGATACTGTAGGTAATATACCCCAAAAAATAATGTCGGGTCTTGCTAGTTGAGAGTTCATGAATTTTTACTCATCCTGATATGGTTGCTGGGAAAAGGAAATATGTCACATCCAAGTATGCAAATTAAACTATAGGTAATAGAATGTATATATCTTTGTAGGTTGTGGCTATTAGTTCTCTCCTTAAGTGTAGTGAAGCTGCTTTAGCATTTTACTAAACTAAACTGATGGTTTCATCAGTGTTCTGGAGTAGAGTTATCAAGCTTTTACTCTCTGTCTGTCACTCTGTCTTCCACTTAGACACATGATAGAATGATGAACTATGTTCTGACATGAATATTGTGTTTAAGGGTCGAAATATGGAGCAAACACTAATACCCTCTTCCCTTATGTCAGTTGCATTAACATATATATTTCAGCGTATTTTTGAAGTAATGAAGGTCCGAAAGTTGTTTGGTGTTATGTTCTACTGTTGTCTAGAGTCTAGTGTTAGTCTTTAAACATAAGGCACTAAGTTCATTTACACTCATTTTTTTTGCTTTATAATGGCAATATAATGTATAAATAAGCTCAAGGCGCACTAAAGTGATAAAACTATTGGAGAGCACATTAGGTAATTTTTAGCTCAAATTTGAGTTGTACATTTAAAACTTTTGGAAGTTGGATGCATACCTCTAGCTTTAGGTGACTGATAAATTGTGACTTAATAATATTTTTATATCCGCATTTTGATGCTCTACCGAATACTAAATGTTTACATGTATCATGTGGTAATGCAAGTCTGGTGTATTTTCAGAATCATGATTGTGAAAAAAAAATTGTCAGACTAGAAAAAGGAGGTGCAATTCATAAGCCGGAAAGTGGAGGTGATGCTAATACAGAGAAAAAATAGAACAAAGTTAATCAGGCTGAAAATAGAAAGAAATTATCTGAGGAAAAAAGGCTCATGAAGGAGGTCAGTCTTATGTTTTATAGATTTCATGTAACAGATCATGTTAAGACTAGAGCTTACTGAGTTTTTTCGTAACGCAGCAAGAGAGGTCGCGTAAAGCAGAATTGAAGGATGAAACCGCAAAACAGAAACAGTTGGCAAAAGAGAGGAAGAAGTTAGAGAAACATAAGTTTAGTGAGAAAGACATTGTGGCTATGATTGATCCAAAGGTTCTGTCAGGTTCAGTTGGAGGTAGGCTCGGTAAGGGTATACTCGTATATACCTGCTAAACTTCATCATTGAATTATGTAAAAAAAATTTAACTTCTTAACTAGTCTTACTGATACTTCTCTTGAATACAGGACCACTGCTAACCATGTTTAGCCAGAAAGATCTCAGGTCTGAAATTTTTTCAAGTCCCTTTGAAAAATCAATTGTTTTGTGGATAGAGACTCCCAAAGACATTTCTCAGGTAAATGGAACTATAACTTGTTGATAGTTTGTGTTGATGAAAGTTAATTCGAAGATGCAAGTTGACTGACTCTTTTCCCTTATGAACCTGAACCTTATACTTCTTATGTTTTAAGGTCCTTTCTTTTCATTTTTTTCATCGAGTAAATCTGGTTTATCTTTGATGCACTATCCCACTAGTCTTCTTTAATTTTTTGCGTGATTGTTTTTGTAGAATGATTTAGGGCTCTGAATGTGAGTAATGTTAAGAACCGTCTTTGGGAGATTCTTATTTCTGCTGTTTTCTGGATAATTTACTTGAAAAGGGATGATGGGTACTTCTTAGATGTATGAATATGTAATAGACTAGGTTTTTCAGATTATAAGTTCTATTGAACCAGAAATTTAAAGATTAAAGTTTGAGTCTTTGATTGATAATGGCAGAATTTTGGATACAAAAGTGATAGGTTGCTTTAGGCTATTATTCTCTTGATAACTTTAGGTTATTACTCTTTAGGTTGTCACTGGAAAAGGATTTAAAGACTGTCCATAAAATGCAGGACCTATCTTCTTAATAATGTCCATTCTTTCAACTCGAAGCTCCTTTAAAGAGGGTAACAATCCTAGTGGTGGCAAGCTTTCACAGCTCACACAATCCATCACCTATTGAACCTATGTACTTATTCATCCCCCTCCAAATGGTGTAATATTATTTGTTTAACAAAGACTCTTCAGCTGTTTTTGTTACTCTAGCTTGCTATATTGTTTATTTCTTCACTGCATAAGGACATCAGAGCAATAACGAGCAAGACAACCCAGCAAACAGGAGCACATCAGAGCGCCACCAGCACAACATCACAGCAGCTCACCAGTACCGCAACACAGAGGACCACGCAGCATAACCCAGCAAACACAGCAGCCTGACCAGCAAGCAACACAACAATACAGTAGAGCAGCAAACACCGAGCACTACAGCAGAGCAGCAAACACCCAGCACAGCCTAACTAGAGCAGAACAGAAACACAGCAGCTCAAGAACTTAAACCAGTCACCCAGCCAGCCTGAACATAACAGAGACACAGCCACAGAAGCAAACAGATGCCCAGCCAGCATGAACAGGCAGAGGCACAGCAGCGCAGCAGAATAGAAACAACAGAGCAGTCTGGATTATTTAATTTTTTTTGGACGAAAATTGTAATATTACAGCCATTTTAAATGAAAATATGTAACTTTATATATATGTTAATGTTTCTATATTAATTTAATTGAAAAAAATGCAAAATTTTTTTTTTATTTTTTTGGGGTATTTTTGGCACCGGTTTGGACCAGAACCGGTGCCTAAAGTTTTTAAATTTTTTTTTTTGAGACTTTTGGCACCAGTTCAAAGCAAGAATCGGTGCCAATAGTATTGAAAATTAAAAAAAAAAAAAATCGCGCCATGGTAGTTGGCACCGGTTAACTGGTGCCAAATCATGTAGTTAGCACCGGTTAACCGGTGCTAAATGCTTTAGTTGGCACCGGTTTTGAACCGGTGCCAAATTTTCATGGATTTGGCATCCATCAAATACCCAACGGTTCAAAACCGGTGCCAAAGGGGGGTTTGAACCGGTGCCTTTTTATCTTTTTCGTCTAGTGTATCAAGCATTTGAAGGTCCAAGCAGCCAACTTGTTACTAGGTCAAAGAAGTATGGGAAGGAAAGAAGAAAGTCTAATCTGTCCTGTAGCTTGCTGAACTAAGACCAAGTTGGGGTTTTTTTTGTAAATGACAGTGCAATTGCTTGGCTTTGTTTTGGTTTTTTTAACTAAGGTTTATATATGATCTGTACTTCGACTTGATCATATGTCTTGTTTTGATTAATTGCCACAGGCTTTTAATTTCATGTTATAATGCAATCTCATTTAGCTCTTGAGTGCTTTCTGGAATGTTGGAATAATTTGAACTCTGTGCAACTTTTTAATCCGTTAAACTAAATTAGGGAGTACATGTAAATATAATAGAAAGCAAGTACCATAACCGAGTTTTTATTTATACTTGGTTAAATTACATAACTGCATTCATAATACCCATACAAATTGCATCACTACCCTGATTACATAACTTAATTAGGATTAAACTATTTGATACTCCCCTTTCCTTCATTACCCTATTTACATCATTTAAGGTAAAAAAAGACAAACTACTAATATGATAATAGCAATCTTCATAAGCCTCTTACAGCAAAAAAAACAGGTCTTCCACCATATTATGTATTGCGGCAATCTTAGAATTTGGTGAAGCATCGTAAAAACTCACATCATCTTCAGTCACCCAGTCAAAAAATCCGCAACCTCTGACTTTTTCCCTGCATTTGTAGTATGGCTTCTTTGGATTGCTCATGGAATCAAAAAACCTAACCTCAGCATTTTTGGGAGGGTTGCAATTGCAGTGCTTCATCCTTACCCAATTAAAACTTCCATCAGTTGCGTCCCTCTTCCTTGGAGAAACTCCACGAAAATGCATGGTGAGAACCTTTTTGAAGAAACTCCACGATTGTGCGAATTCCGTGGAGGTTAGGTTTTGCGATTTGGTGGAGGTTGAAGGAAGAGGAAAGGGTTTGGGATTTTTTCTTGATGAATGTCGATTAAACAGTACAATTGCAGTGGCCATTAATAAAAAGAGGAGGGAATCAATTAATTCAAGGGTAGGTTAGTCTTTTTGTGTAATGTAGTAAAAATATGAGCCATTTTGAAGTTGGTTAGCCCATTTAATGATAATTAGGCCACTAAAGTCAAAGTAGTGAAACCAGAGTGCCATTAAAGAGAGCTGAAAAAAACTTCGTCTTCCACGTAGAAAACCGAAAACCATAAGGCCACCATGTAGAATTTCCTTAAATTTTTTTATGAAAATATCATCATATTCATTGGATAATTAGATAAAACCTTTAATATCAAAAAATGGTTAACCCAAGTAGAAAGGATTGGAGCCTTCGTTTAAGTGATGCCTTATGGGCATATAGAACTGCATATAAAACTCCTTTAGGAATGTCTCAATTTAGACTTGTTTTTGGAAAAGCGTGTCACTTACCTGTGGAAATCGAGCATAAGTCTTATTCGGCAGTGAAGCAATGTAATTTAGACTATGATCTTGCTGGAAATGAAAGGAAATTACAGTTACTTGAGTTGGAAGAATTGAGGTTAGAGGCATATGAAAATGCAAAAATCTATGAAGACAAGACCAAAGCCTTCCATGATAAAAACATAGCTAGGAAATCATTTCAGGTTGGACAGAAAGTTCTTTTATTTAATGCTTGCTTGAAATTATTTCCAGGAAAATTACAAACTAGATGGCTTGGCCCCTTTGTTGTTACTAATGTTTTTCCTCATGGTGCAGTTGAAATCAAAGATTTCAATACTAACAAAACTTTCAAGGTTAATGGTCACAGGTTAAAACCATTCTATGATCAAGCTTATGTGACTATGATTGAAGACATTTTATTTGAACAAGCATGAAGAAAGGAATGTCGAGCCAACGACGTAAACCAAAGGCGCTACTTGGGAGGCAACCCAAGGATATTATGCTCTTTTCCTTGTTCATTTCTTTTGATTTCAGTTTTTTTTTTTTTTTTTTTTTTTTTTTTTTTTATTATTATTATTATTATTATTATTATTATTATTATTATTATTTTCTCTCTTTCTTTCTTTCTTTCTTTCTTTCTTTCTTTCTTTCTTTCTTGTGTTTCCTTTCTTTTCTACAATTTTATTTGTTTCATCGTTGGGGCACCATGAGATAAACTTACTGGATTTAATTTGTGCATTCTTGCAGCAGCATCACTATGGTCGGTTTAATCTCACAAGTACACTGCATTATACCTTTAACTCCAGAACTCCGGTCATGAGAATTGAGGAGGATAAAAAATTCAGCAATCAGAAAAGAACTCTGAGTGTAACCGTGTACAAGCAGCGGAATGAAGAGTTCCGCACACTGAAAAGCTGAGTGCTATGCAATGTGCAACAACATCACAAACATTCTGAAATCTCATAATCTACTAAACCAGCTAAGTTTCTTCTTCTTTTTCTTCATTTCTTTTTCATTGAGGACAATGAAAGATTACGTGTGGGGGAAGCAAAATACTGGTTATTTGTTGTGTGGTTTGAGTTGTTTTGTTTTTGTTTTTGAAGACGACTTTATGTTAGGCAGTAGTCAATTTACTGGGGAGGTGCTGCCGAATTTTTTTTTTTTTATATGTTGGAAATTTTGAACTAATAGCAGTAAAGTACAAAAAAAAATGAAAAAAAAAATGTTTGTTTTCTCCAATCTTCTTGATAACTTACACTCTGGGCTTGTGTCGTATCTCCCTCAAATTGCAACTAATCCATGTTTTGTAAATGATTTAGGCATTTAAAACAATGCATATGACACATCAACCAAAAAGCTTATCCTTGTTATTTTCCATGAATGAATCACAAATATACCTCTACTTACAAATCAAATGATTAACCTTTCTGAAACTAGTAGGGCATATAAAAGTGTGATGTAAAAATGGTTGTTGACATACAATGGTGGGTATAGTATTATAAAGTGAAAGTTTCAACGTCAAAGGCTCTACGTACCAATGTCTAGGTAAAAGTGTTTAAAAAAAAAAAGAGAGAAAAAAATTCAAACCCAGTTATGTACGTGTGATGTTTCTATCTCTTGCTTGAGTAGTTCGAGTAAGTAGACCCTTAGGGGTATCTTAAAGCCTAGTGCCTGGGAGTCACTGGTCGAACACTCGCTACATGGACTCTTTGACGGAGGTTGAACATTAAGAGTCATGAAAGAAAAAAAATGTGGTGTACATAAAGTTTAGGTTGCACCTGAGGAATATTTGTTATTATTTGGTTGTAATCGTACTGTACTCTACTAGTTTCAGAAACGTTACCACTGCATTCCCATAAATTATTGTCATATCCCTCTTTTACCTTAACCCCATGATATCCTTGAAAAGTCCTAATGATTTAAGACATGTGGATTGGTATAAGTAAGGAGGGTGAGAAATGATTAAAGTTAATCGAGCAAGTCGTCAAGTTAAATTGGGGAAACTTCTATAAAAATGAGTTTTAAAAATTGTTTACTGCTATTTAGTTGAAAATTTCTGAATAACGGACTTTGTGGGTATGTCTACTGCAAATCCTCACGAGACCGTACTCGTCCTCTAGGGGGAACTTAGGGGTTTAAAGGGCTTGTTGCACGTGCTAAGTGTAACCGTGATTCCTACGACAGTGAGTTAGGTTTATTGCTTTTATAGGTTAGTTTTATTTAGTTTGTTCGAGGGCGACCAAAGACTAAGTGTGGGGGAATTTGATAAGTGCATAATATACCATATTTTTAGTCCCTAATATTAGTCCTACAATCGCTTTTTATTAGTTATTTTATGAAATTATCCACTTTAATAATTTTAGTTCTTAGTTTATGTTAGTATTTTATTTTATAGCTATTCTTTTTTTTTTTAATAATTGGTACTTAATATCAAGTTGTGTGTTTTTGGTAGGAAAGCAAGAGGAAAAGAAAGTGGAGTATGAAGTGGATTTGGCTAATGTAGAACATCAAAGAAGGCCCAAATTGTGTGGTTATCTAATCACATTCACGTGCCATCATCATCAAAGAAAAACAAAAAAAAATAAAAAAAAATAAAAATATAAATAAATAAGAAGAAAAGGGGAAAAGGGTGCGTGAAAACCAAAGCTCAAAACAACATCTCTCAACTCCATGTTTATCTTCATCAAGCTCAAAATCTTTCTTCAACACATCCGAAATTCAAGGAAAGCGATGAATTCTTATCCTATTTCAAAAGTTTATCATCCCGAACCCAAAAATCGGTGGTTGTTTTTGGCTATAAAAACCCCAAAAAAAATCATCTCAAAAACACACACAACCTAGCCGAAATATACCAACTACAAAGTAATTTAAGTGAGTTCATGAATTGGGCAATTGGTGAAGAGAAGATAGCCGTTGGAGGGAAGCTTAGTCTCGAATCCAAGGTAGAACAAGAATGACGGTGAATTTGGGGTCGAAGCCGGGTTTATTAGACAGTTCTTTAGAGTATAATTCATAAATCTTCTTCTTAACTTTATTGTTCATATTACTTCTTGTTTAAATTATTTTGATAATTTGATGAAAAACTTGATGAGATTATTGGTATTACATTTGATTTTAATTTAAGTCAATTTTCAGTTTTGTTTAATTATTATTTGACCTTGCTTGTA